TGGTACTCGCGCATCGTGCATCCTGTGACCAGCGAGGGCTGGCGACCCGTGCGCTTGGGAATGGCGGGAGCAGGAGCGGCAGCCGACGACGACGATCCAGCAACCTCGAGACCAAACGATCCGCGACGGCCACGCTTGATCTGGACGGTGGATCGCAATGCGGCCAGAGTCAACACGGAGCGTGCGGCGGTCTTGACCAGACAAGGAAAGACATGCCCACCTTTTCATTGGCAGCAGCCCTGCCACCAGACTTGCGCTTCTTGGTGCCAGCCTCGCCATCTGCTTCCACGGGAGCGGCGGGTTCAGCAGGAGCGCCGCGACCCGTCGACCGGCGGCTTGAACGTCGACGCGTCACACGAGCGGACTCTGGCTCAGGATCAGGATCAACCATGGCCATCGCCGTCGCCCGCGCCGGTTTCTTCTCCTCCTTGATCGCGGCGGTCTCTGCGGGCTGTGCACCGGCATCCTTGGTGGTAGCGGCATCAGCAGGCTCAGCCACGGTCTCGGCAACAATCTCCTTCTGGCGGGCATCAAGCTTTTCGGCGAGCCACTTGGAGTACACGCCGGCACGCTCGACCAAGAACTTGAGACGCTTCTGTTTCTGCTGGCGCTGCTCTTCCTCAAACTGCGTGTTGCGCTGTGTCCAGATCCATGCTGCGGGTCAGTCACGGCCGTCGGCTGGCAGATCTGAAATGCTCCATCATCGGAGTTGGTGGTGCCAGCTCGCTGCTGCTACTGCCGCACGGCCGAGCATACACAAGGACAGACAGAGCAGCCGTGCACACCACACAGGCTACAGCAGCGGCAGCGATACCAGCACAGGCAGACGGCGCATGGCGAGAGATGGACGCACCAGCTCCCAGAGACGGCGGCGGTAAGCCTTCTCCTCCTCGGCCTTGGCCTTTTCTTCCTCACGGCGCATCTCGTCGGTGATGAGCTCAGCCTCAGTCATGAGCAGGTCGTCGGGCAGCTGCGAGCTGGCGCGGTCGTCTCTGCCGCTGTCGGCAGGTGCGGGAACACTCTCGCCGTCGGCATCGGCCGCGGGCTGGTCGTCTGGCACCGTTTCGGCTGTCGGCGTGAAGGAGAATCGTGGAACCATGCGGTGCTCAGTGCGTGTGCGTGTGGCCACTGGTCGGCCCGGCAGCTCGTCGGCGGGCCAGCGTGTGGGTGGGGCAGGGGATAGGCTGTGCTTACTCTGTTGTGCGGGTGCACCGGCCACCTTCTCGCCGCTCTCGGCTGGGCTCGTCTCTGCACCACGCGCCGTCGCAGTCGCAGTCGCCGTCGCAGTCGGCTGCTCTTCCGTGCCGGACATGAATGGTCAACAATCGCGAGTGTCGGACTAAGCGTTTAATGATGGACGAGCGGAGAGCCAGGCTCGCCTGTGGCGGCGATGGATGGAGTTGCAAAGACAAGAAGGAAGATGCGAGACGGCAGCGTGGATCTAGAGCTCTTCGAGCTCTCTGATGTCGCTGAATGCCAGAATGGCCGTCAGCCCCGCGACCGACGCCGTGTCGCCCAGACTGTAAAGACTCTCGGCCACAACGTGGTCCAGCACGGCCCCGCGCTTGAGGACTGCATTCATGCATGCATGTATTGCGTGTCAGTCGCGAGGCCACTCATAGCATCAATGCATGCAATCGCTCAAACGTACACCATGTCAGCGAGACTGTGCTCAGAAGCGTCGTTAGCATCACATGGAGCGTGTCAGTCACCGCGGATGGCCACAGAGTGCGTGGACACGCGAGGCTGAGACTTACCGAGACCTAGTCCGACGCCAGCAAAGACTTTGCAAAGTGTGAGAGAGCGGCGGTCCATCATGGCTGTGTCTGGGTTGGCAACTGCGTCGTTGTAGAGACCGTGCACCTTGCGTCCAATGAGGAACGTGGACGCGATCCAAGCCAGTGTTGGCAAGCTCGAGTCTTTGGGCGGATAAAAGCTGCAGGCAAACATGGACAGCAGCTGCACATACGACAGCTTGCTATACCTGTCATGGCCATTGCATGCGTCAGGCGCGTTGCCAGACTGGATTGTCCAGCACGACTTACATGTCCAGATTATCCGCGTTGGTTGTGGTGTCGCCGATGACGTGGATGAGTGCTGGGACACTTGCAAGCCATGTCAGGTAGCGGCCTGGCTCGAGTGTCTGGTCCACTTGCTTGCCGGGCAGCGATGGAAGCAGCCGGAGCAGAAGCAACAGATAGGTGGCTGCCATGATGCCATTCACCATGATGAGCGCGCCGGCAAGCACGCGCTTGGTTTGGATCTTGCTGTTGTTGTCTGTCGCACCACGTCCATGAGTTGCTGGCACTTTTCCCTGCTGCGCATTGGACTCTGTGGACAGGGACTTACAGGTCATGTACGCGACAAACGAGCTCATGACGAACACAAACGTCGAATCTGCCATTCATGGGATCCGGTCAGCCGCGGCAAGTGTGGACAAGGCCGCCACCATCCGCCAGTCACTCACTCATGTAGAGCCGGCTGAGAACGGGTGGATGTTCCGAGTAGTCCCTGCCAAGGAGCGCCATAAACGACAGGATGATCATGCACGGGAACCACAGATGCAGCTGCCGCTGGCATACGTCGAGCGTCAGGGACTCGATCAATCTGAATCCGAGCAGCTCCTTGATGTCGAGCAATGCGACGGCAAAGACCCAAGATATCATCTCGTCATACGACACGGTTTCGTGTTTGGCTGGTGGTGTGGTGGACGGTTGGCTGCGGCCGGGCAAGAGACGGAACTGCTGTTTGGGTTGCTGTTGGCGGCTCTGAGTCGAGGCTGCTGTCGGTGTCGGTGTCGGCACTGTGGGCCAATGCGATGCGAACCGAATGGGTGGATGTTGATCAGAATCAGATTAGCGCCAAGACAATGAAAGCTGGTCAGTGTACAGTCGGATAAGCGTGGGCGACTGCGATCGGTACTGCTGCTGCTGCTGCTGCTGCTACTTCTTTGGTGGTGGGTCCGAGGGCATGCTGCTGCTGCTGCTGCTGTGTCTGCCTGTACATTTTCCTCAACCGGCGCAGCTGATCGGTCGCATGGGACCCACCCGCCGCGATCTGAGCCTGCTGCTGGTACTGGTGCTCCTGCTGCTGGTTCTGTCCGAGTGCTGATAACAGACGGAAATGGGCTCTGGTGACCAACAGAAACACTCACCCTTATCGCTGGCGGATGCATCGCTGTAGAACTCTCCCGGCACACGCAGCTCCTGCACGATCCGATGCCGTGTCACGGCACAGCCGCACTCGTCACACTTGCTCGACGATGCATTGAAAGTGTACTCGGGGCACTCGCATGTGGTGCAGGACGATCGCAGCTGCTTGTCCTTGTCGCGCATGCTGCTGTGGTACGATCACTATTTGTTGCGGGGGCAGATTGGTTGTTGCAGTGAATGGTGAAAGTGAGATTGCCAGTGCCTTGGGTTTTGGTCTTTGCTAAAACCTGAAGATCGGATGCAGAGCAGGCTGCTTTTGGTTCATTCAACGACACCTCGCGGGCGGCAGGCACACATCACACGATGCTCTTCAGAAGCTCAATGGCACGCGCACACTCGCTCGCCTTGGCGTGCACAAGCAGACGGAGCCGGTCCTTCTCATTCAGGCTCTTGACAAGCAGCGTGACAGCAGCGAGCGAGCCCTTGCTGACCGCTTCCAGAGTGAATCCCTCGTTGCGCGACTGCAGCAGCCACTTGACAACCGCAACGTGTCCGTTCTGGCACGCGCGATCAATGGCGGCCGTGGTGCATCCCTCGGATCTGTTCGCATGCAGCCACTTGACAACGTGCAGATGGCCGCCGGCTGCTGCTCTGTCCATCGCCTTGACGGTACACCCCTCTCTGCGGTGCTTGTCCAGGTACACCACCACGTCCAGATGGCCCTTGGCAGCGGCGTTGTCCATGGCACGCGTGCCGCACAGCGCTTTGCCAGCCGCGTGCAGCTGCTTGATGATGCGCAGGTAGCCACGGCCAGCGGCAAACTCGATCAGCGTCATGGGCTTGCCCGAGCCGCCGCCCTTGGCATTCGCAGCCGGCACGGCGATCTCATCGTTGCCGATGCTGCACGCTTGAAGATGGTGCGTCTGGGCGACATGCACAAACGCAGCCTCGTAGCCGTGCCGCAGCGCGACCATGGCCATGTCCGGTGCCGGCACACACGACCTGACGTTCATGTCGACGATATCGAGCCACTCATTGTGCAGTGGGATGATGGTCTGAATGTCGCGGAGCAGCTGTTCATGGGCCGACGGAGACTGGGAGAATCGCTTCACAAGGCGAGCATACAGCGGCCGCGACCGGACCAGCAGGAGCGTCGAGATATCCAGCTTGCTGGCGCCAGCAGGATACGGAACCAGGGCAAGATCGCCCTGCCAGTCTTGCAAGAGAGTATCGTGCCATACAGCCTGCAACAGAGCGTTGTTGCTGCTGGCACCGTGGTCAACGCTGATCTTGCCGCACAGGAGCTGCGTGAGATGGCCCGCGTGGCCGAGGATGCGGATTTGGGTTGCTTCATCCAGAAGGTCCCAGCGATTGGTCGGTCGGATGGCGTGAGACACGCGAGACACGGACTTGGATGAGACGCGAGCAAGAGACAGTGCAGTGCCTGGCCGCAGAGGGAGCTCGAGAGACGACAGGATGCAAGGATCATCGACGGCAAGTCCAAAGGCATCGAGCAGGGCCGCGATTACATCGAAGCGACCGCGGACAGCCAGCGACGCCACAAGCGGCACAACATGGGATTGCACAAGGCGTCCCGTGTGGGCATCTGTTGCGGTGGCTGGTGGCTGTTTCATTGCTGTGTTGAGATGATGCCAATGCCCCAAAGACATAAATGCCACAATCATCACTCTCAACCTAATATGACCACAGTGCGGCACCGGATCGAACTGCGATCGGCAGCCTGAGAGCGCCGGTGTGTGCGGGCTGATGGATTACGGCGTCTGCGATATCTGCAGGGCGAGTCAGGCTGCCCAATGCAGCAGGATAGAACCAAAAAGAAAAAAGAAATGCCCCTTATGTGGATTGATCACATGACCTTTGGTTTACAAGACCAACGCTCTACCACTGAGCTAAAGAGGCAGCTCCTTGTGGAAATTTCGAAAAGTAAAGAATACAAACACGACGTGTTGGCGTCGCTGTTGTCCAACGTCACACACTGTTCTCTGGCTAGGGCTGAGAGAAGCCACCGACCAACAGCATCGCTCATGAATGGTCAAGAGAGCAAAATGAAAATCCATTCAAAGAGCCACACGCAGCAAGGTATCAGCCACATCATCCACATCCTCATCACGAGCACCATTGCGGCCAGACCCAGATGCAGGCCCAACCTCCAGCCCAAGAGCAGAGCAGAGGGCCAGCGCTCCTTCGTCGCACGACCCAAGATACAATGCGTCCCGCCGGTACTTTTGCACATCGCCCACAAAGTCAAACCCGCGCGTGCTGAGCCGGCTGTCTCCGCACGACTCCCGGTTGACCAGCAGCCGCGGCACGGTCGGCTTGACAAGATCCACGAGCCCAGCAAACGGCTGCACCTTGAGCGACGTGCCCATGACCACAAGCGCATCGCACTCGCGGAAATCCGTCTGCGCGAGCGTGTAGAACCGCGCGGGCAGCGACTCTCCGAAAAACACAATGTCTGGCTTGACCAGCCCGCCACAGTCGGTGCACCGCGGTATCGCCTCGCCCTCCATTGCCGTCTTGAACTCTTCGATACTGTACACCTTGTCGCAGCCAGGAATCCCTTCGTCCACCGCTCGCTCTCTCTCTCGCTCGGCCGCAGTGCCACCATCGCCGCCGCCCTCGCCGCCATCCGTCTCCGAGTCCGACGACGTAAACACACTCGGCAAGTCCCCGCGTAACCCGCCCACGCACCGTGCCTGGTGGAACGACCCGTGTGCCTCGACAATCAAGTGTCCCGGCACGCCGGCGATCCGCTCCAGCATGTCAATGTTTTGCGTGTAGTTGCGCAGCAGCATCCCTTCCTCTGCCAGCGCGCGTATAAAGTCGTGGCACGGCGTCGGCTTGAACTGGCCAGGGAACAGCTCGCGGGCCAGCTCGTAGAACGGCTGTGGCTTGCGTCGGAAGTACGAAATGTCAAAGATGGCCTCGGGGTAGGGCAGATTGTACCTGTGTGGATGCCACACACACAGGGTCAGATGCGAGATGCAGGTGACGGTGCAGGAGGGCGGGGTGGGCCAGAGGGCTCACTTTTGAAGATTGTCGTAGAGGCCTGTGCCGGGACTGCGAAAGTCTGGGATGCCAGCGCTCGTCGAAATGCCAGCACCGGTCATGACAATCACCTTGCGGCACTTGTTGCGCACAAGATAGTCGACAAACGCCTTGATGGTGTTGTTGGGCAGGATGTTGAGCTTGGGGTTGGCAGCCTTTTCTTCGAGCGGCGTGAGCAGCTGCCGCACAGTGGGCGGTGGCCTGCCTCCTTGGCGGCCAGTCGACGGCGACGAGCTTGCCTGTTGCCGAGGCTTGGGCGACGGAGTTGGCGACGGCTTTGGGACGGCGGATGGGCCGTTGCTGCTGGCGACGGGCGGGACAACCGACGGCACAGATGTGTCTTCGGGTACGACAGCCGGTGGGGTTGCGTCGTTGTCGTCGTCTTCTTCGAGTGCCGATGCAGGCGACTGCGACGGTAGCGGTGCGCTGGCCGTGCCAGCTGCACGAGCCGCACTGGCAGCGTCAGTCTTGGCGACTGGGACTACCTGCTCAGCGCGATCTGACTCCATACGCGTGTTGGGGAGAGAGTGGCGACAACAGCGACAGCGATGGGACGGTTGGATATGAATGAATGGTGGACGGTTCATTGAGTGCAGGATCAGCCACATGCGGTCTGCGTCTAGTTGCTGTCCTTGAAGTAGTCCTTGGACTTGACCGGGTCGGCAACCATGGTCTTGGAGCCCTTGCGCCAGCCAGCCGGGCAGACCTCCTGCGATGCAAGGGCGGGTCAGTGGCAGGATCAGGACCATGATCACGATGTGGCGTGGCAGGATACACATGCAGACGTACGCCGTGCTGGTCGGCAAACTGGTAGCCCTCGACCAGACGCAGAGTCTCGTCGATGTTGCGGCCCACGCTCGTGTCGTTGATGGTGATCTGGCGCACGATGCCCTTGGGATCGATGATGAAGGTGCCGCGGAGCGACAGGCCAATGTCGCCGCCCGAGTCAGCGAGCACGCCGTACGAGTGCGAGATGTTCTTGGTGATGTCGGCGACTGGCAGGGGATGCGCGTGTGAGTGTGAGTGTGAGTGTGAGAGTGCGAATGCAAGAACAGAAGGGTAGAGAGAGAGAGAGAGAGAGAGAGATCGCGCACCCAGCGGGTACTTGAGGCCGGCGATGCCGCCGTCCTTGCGCGGCATGTTGAGCCAGGCGAGGTGCGAGAACTTGGAGTCGACGGACACGCCGACGACCTCTGTGTTGAGCTTCTTGAACTCGTCCAGACGCTCGCTGAAGCCGATGATCTCTGTCGGGCACACGAACGTGACTGATGGTGGCTGGAGGTCAGCGTGTGGCATGCTGGATGGCCAGAGTGGCATGCCAGTCGAGGCAGCGCAGGGTGCCCACTCACAGTCGAGCGGGTAGAAGAAGAGCACCAGCCATTTGCCAGTATAGTCTGCGGACGACAGCTTGATGAACTCGCCGTCGAGCACAGCGTCGGCGGACCAGCCAGGCGCCGGTTTCTGGTGCACGGCGAGAAGAGCGCTGTGAGCAAGCGTGTGTATGCAGGCAGGCACTCGCAGGCAGGCCTTTGCAGGCAGGTCTACGCAGGCCTATGTGGCAGGCACACACACACACACACACCTGGACCTGGGCAAACGTGTGGCGGGCAGCAGCCGTCGACGAGAACGGCATCTGCTGCGGCTGTCTGGGCAGGCGGGCCGCGAGGGGCGACACGAGGGACGGCAGCACGGCGGGCGACACGGCGGCCTTGGCAGTGGCCGAGCGGGCAGCCGCAACGGCACAGCGGGCGGCCACGGACGGGGCGGCACGGCGGGCAGCAAGCGCAAGCATGGCGGCTGGAATGGCGATCTGGCGGGCAAGCCAAGTCAGGCCAAGCAAACCCAGACCAAGCCAAAGACGGGCGACGCGGTTCGACTGCAGATCCACCACGATGCCCGCCCCCGCAGCAGCCGCAGCACCACCGCCCAAGACGGACGCCGAGGCCATGGCCGTCGACGAGCCGCCCGCCAAGACCGAGGAGCAGAAGCTGGCAGAGGCCAACGCGGCCGTGCTTGCCGGTGAGTGGCTGCTGCGTGCTAGTCCTGCCTTAGTTGCTGCCGTGGCTGCCGCGCACGACCCTGGCCGTGTCTGCCGCCGGCTGCAGAACCACCACCACGACCACGCACGACCACGCACGACCAGCACCACGACCAGCACCCTTGTCATGCTGGACTGGCGGCCGCTGCACACGGACACACGGACCGCCGCATGCCTGCCTGGACGTGCCTGGACGTGCCTGCCTGGCTCGACATGCCTGCCTGCCCGCCGTGCTGACCCTCGCCTGCCACACGCCGCCTGCCGCAGACATCAAGCAGAGCATCGGCCTCGTCGAGCGCGGTGCCTCGTCGCTCGAGTCTCGCTTCATTGTGCGTGCCGTGCGCGCGTCGGCCGCTGTCCGCCACAGGGTCACGCTGGCCCTGCTCGTCACGGCCATCACCACACACCTGTCCACCGGTTCGTTGGCTTGCTCGTGTGCTTGCTCGTCTGTGCTGCTGCCGTGTCGCAGTCACCAATATGCTCACGTCGCGTCGCTCAACTGCCCTTGCACCGCGTCCAACCTTGCAGACCAGCCCATTGCCGGCTCTCTTCTCAAGGCCCTCGAGGCGGTACGTCTGCCCTGCGCACGGCACTCGGCTGCGTGGCATGCTTGCATGCATGCATCTAACACTGCACACTGCGCATCTGCTTGCCGTGGATGGCTGGGCTGCTGGCTTGAACAGGCCGGTGCCAAGGTCGATGTTGACATGGAGCCTGCGGACGACGCCAAGCCTGCTGCCAAGCCCGCTGGGCCAGAGACCGAGCTGTTCCTTGCTCTGCTCGTGCTCGTCTTCCTGCACGACCAGCAGCACCACTTGATTGTAAGCGAAGCAGGTGCAGCGCCAGAATGCCTGCGCCGTGTCCCAAACTCCAGCGAGGCTGACTGTGCTGCGATCGCGCAGGCCACCCAACTGTCAAACTCGCTCGTTGCAGCCGTGCAGTCGCTCAACCGTCGCACGCTCGACCCCATCACCGCGCGTCTCTTCTTCTACCACGCGCGTCTCTATGAGCTGTCGGGCCACCTTGCCGACATCCGCCCACAGCTGCTGGCTGCCCACCGCACGGCCACGCTCAGACACGACGACGAGACCCAGGCCGCCATCCTCAACATCCTGCTCAGAAACTACCTGCAGCTCAACCAGATCGAGCAGGCGGACAAGCTGGTGTCCAAGGCCGTGTTCCCAGAGACGGTCGGCAACAACCAGGCTGCCCGCTACACCTACTATCTCGGTGTGTGGGCTGCACCTTCTGACCCCCATCGCCCATACATTTTGCCTCGCACTGACGCATCGGGCTCATCTGATTGTCACAGGCCGGATTCGTGCCATCCAGCTCGACTACTCCACGTCCCACCGCCACCTGCTTCAGGCCATCCGCAAGGCTCCCCAGAGCGACTTTGCTGCTGGCTTTCAACAGACGGTAGGGTACTTGATCCACTCTTTACTCGATCTGGGCTGTCCACTGACACCCGCACCGCCCAATCACGCTCTTCTGTCTGAATCCAGGTCACCAAGCTTGCGATCATTGTGCAGCTGCTGATGGGCGAGATCCCCGAGCGCTCAACGTTCCGCGAGCCCACGCTCCGCAAGGCTCTGGTGCCGTATCTGTGCATTACCCAGGCCGTGCGCATTGGTGACCTTGCCAAGTTCCAAGAGGCTCTGGCGACGTATGGCGCCGTGTTCCGCAACGACAAGAACCTGTCGCTCATTCTGCGTCTGCGCCACAACGTCATCAAGGCCGGTGTGCGCCGCATTTCGCTCGCCTACTCGCGCATCTCGCTCCGCGACATCTGCATCAAGCTGCAGCTCGACAG